ATTACTACTTGTTACGTTTAAGAACACTTATTATGAAAAGTTAGGAAGGACCCGTGAAGTCCTGACAATAGTTCATCCCCACAAAACTGCGAGGGAGGGCCTTCATGCTGTTGATGTCTGTTATGAAACTATCTCAAGACGCTGACTTGTATTTCCTGCGGAACAACGACACGATCGCCGAATATGATACAATCGTTAACGATAGGCCGGGAGTTAAGTCGTAAGTGACACTGTTGTAACTCTCCAGAAGTTTTTGCGGGCCTCTGACTGCAATGATACTTGAAGAAACATGTCAACAGTGGATCCTGTTGGGTTGCGTGACAGGGTGTTCACTAATGGAATCCATTAATATACTATGAAACTCGGACTCATGGATGACGCACATGCCGACTATGCTTTCGGGCTCCTTAGTCTGTGAGTTGATTAAGCACGAGAGTACGTCGGCCTGACAAATGTTTGTTGTAGGCTGGTAGCGGATGTCAAAGTCATAGCCAATGAGCATGTTTGCCCAGCGCTGAATGTTATTTGCCGAATACACATTAATGCCTTTCTTCTAGCCGAAAATAGCAAGAAGAGGATTGAGGTCCTCGAGGAACCTGAAATGACGCCAATAAAGCATATTGTGAAACGCCTTCATGGCGAAGATGAAAGCCAAGCCTTTTGTCTCGATCCGTCCATTGTTGCGTTCAGCAGACGTCAGTGATCTTGCTGCATGACCGATGGCCTCCTCTGGGTTGTCAGGAAGGATGCTTAAAATAACGGCGCCAATTCTCCCACACGCTTTTTGAAAATGAAGGCACATTTAACTCTGCCTCCATTTTCAAGGTGGGAGTGATTTTAACTGCCCATTTTCTAGTTTTCCATTATTTGCAAATATTGCCCTAAAAGGACAATTTCTACTGACATTTTATGTGCGCACATCATCATATTTTTTACGAAACTACGTTTTTGTAGACAGTGCCGTCCTGGCACTAACACTTATAAATGCCAAACGCTTCTTGACACTTTCGCAATCAGGGCCAGTTGAAATCTTTCTTGAGTAGTTCCTTCATCGGATGACGAAGGTAGTGCATTTCTGGAGAGAACGAGCTGCAGTGAATCAGGAGACCCAACAAAGTACGCAAGGAAGTTAAATCTGTCGATGGTGGTGTCTGTTTGATGGCGTGGACTTTAATTGGATCTGGGCGACGACATTCTCGGTCGATTACGAACCCGAGATATTTCACAGAATACATGAAAAATTGGGTAAGGATCTATAGTGGGGTCCGCACAGTGCGAGCGAAACGCGCTTCACTCCGATACAGGCACCTGGGTTTGTAGAACAATTCGGTGCGCAACACTTATGTAAATAAAAAACGTTACGCGGGTAAGTTGGGGGACGTCGGTCGGGGACACTGAAGTTCATTTTGATATCATCGCTTACCCCTACTAGACTAACGGCAAGCGCGCGAATGTCGTTGGAGGGAGTGTTCGCTGAACCCGGCGAGGTATATTTTTAGTAATATAACTAACCCCAACCAAAATAACTGTGAAAGAGTGAAGAAGGTGGAAGATCGTGCTAATTTGCTTTACTTAAAACTTGTAATTAAACGGTTATTCCCATGGTTACTTTGAAAAGCCATTTTACTAAATAAACTGACTTAAGTGGTTATTCTATATGGTGGCCTTCCGAGAACCCCTCTACAGTTCAATATCATCATCCGATCCCTACTGGACCAACGGCCGGCGTCCCAAATTTGGGAGATTGTGGAAAATTCAACTTACGTGAAATTTGTAAGTAAGTGGTTTGTAAACATGTTCACCCTTTTAGAACCCCTCTATAGATCCCTGCCAAAAATTGCCCTTCTCCAGACGAAGACGGAAACCATGGTCCTAAATCCGACTGAATACTGTCTTCAGACATTGCAAAAGTTCATTTATTTTTGAAACAGTGATAATTATAGCATACACACAGGCAGTGGCTCCTTCGGTACCTGTCAGCATCCTGTTCATGTTTGACTGCCGGCTTCCTCTGCAGTTTAACGCGATGACCCCGCAGATGTTCCGTCCGAGCCAATTCGAAGAATTCATCAAATTCTTGTTCGCACTCACGGCCTCTAACAGTACAGTAGGTTTGGATGAGGTCACTGCTGACTTGCCTGTAATTGAGAGGAAACAATCAAGTTCAGTCAGTCTGTCTTCATAAGGTAGATGACAAGTTTCGCAATTCAGCTCAGCAAAAAGATTTTCCAGCGCGGGCAAGGGATACTGACGCTTGTCCAGAGCATCTTTGGGACCAGTGGAAAAATTAGCACAGATTCTGACTTTACCTGTAGATTTCTTGACAAAAACGATCGGTGCGGCCCATGCCGAATAATTGACTGGCTGCAGAGCATAGTCTCACTGATGGTCAAGTAAGTGTAGCATACGGAACTGGTCTTTTTGTCTGAAGACAAGTTTTGTGTGTGGTTTAAGTCGCAGAGTTTTAGCAGCCAAGACCGTTTTGAAAGACTGGAGCAAAAATCGCCCGTAGGGTCGACATCAGCTTAGCTGTCAGCCGATTCGATTTGGCGGGATTTGCCAAGTTGATGGCAAACTAATACGATAAATTCTGTTCGGCGTGAGCAACCACATAGGCAGGGGGAGTGTTAAGTATGGTAGGCAGATAACAAATCTGCCAACACATCACCATTTTAAAATAATAGTCAACACTCTCTGAAATATGTGATGAACTAAGGAGGAAGCAGTGAAAAAAACTGTTACCATTAAAGCGGGGGCAGAGTTCAGCGGACCCTCACTTTAAAAAAAACGTAGGAGAAAAAACTGCTTCTATAAAATTAAAGAGTGTATGCATTTGAGGTCGTCTGCATAAATGAGATTGTGTGAATTTTTAAGGATAGTCGAAATTTCATTTTATGTATAGAATGAAGGTTAAGGGACCCAACACAGTGCCTTGAAAAACGCCAATCGTGATCAGCTGAGCCGTGGAGTAGCTGTTACCTGCTAAAACCTTTTGGTTGTGGTTAGACAAGTAGGACCCAATGAAGTCGAGGAGAAAGGGACAGATGCCTATGGCTTCCAGTTTTACCAGAAGCCGTCTATGGGTACCTTCTCGAAAGCGTTGCTCTGGTCAAAATAGATAACAACCACTAATTGCTGCTCGTTACGGAGGCAAGCGACTTGGTTAAGAAAAGCGAAGTGACACGTCTCGCATGATCGTTCAGGTAGAAAAGAATGCTGGAGTCGCTTAAAAGCTTATTTTTTAGGCAGAAATCGAGAATTTGATTAAAAATAATCTTCTCCAGAAGTTTACAGTCCGCTTAAAAGCTTATTTTTAGGCAAAAATCGAGAATTTGCTTAAAAATTATCTTAAAAGCTTATTTTTTAGGCAAAAATCGAGAATTTGATTAAAAATGATCTTTTCCAGATGC